TTAATATTAGCATCAATTGTTTTAGTAAGTAGGTTAAGTGAAAATGTTGTAAATAATCAGTGATAGAAATCTAACTGTCCTTTAGCTTGTAGTAGTTTGCATTGTAAGTAGTTTCAGTAGTGTTTTGCTTTGTGTTAATAGAAAAAAAAAAGATAAAAAAAAATTGGGCCCACGAATTGCGCAAAATATGCGACTTGACTCACTTGTCTTAAATTATTTTGTTTTTCTTCTTAGTTTTGCTACTTTATGTGCAACTGACCAGCGCAGAACACAGTAAGTACATAGTGTCTTTTTTATTAGCTAACTTTTAAAAGAATTCTCATTTTGCTTCTTACGTCTACGAAGTTGCTGTAGGTAATGTTCTGTAACAATCAGATAACAGTCCCCGGGATTATAGACTTGCTCATATACTGCTCTTTTGGTGCGACGTGCGTACTCTGTAGTAAACTTTGAACTTTGTAGCGGAGAGTGGGCTGGGGGTGGATTTTATCTGTCTCTTAAGAACATTTCAGTTAGTTCAAGAATACTGCATGGTAAAACTGTTGTGTTTCGTGTATACGTATATGCAATTGAGAATATTAAAACAACAAATGGACGGGTCGGTTTTGAGGCTGCAGAGGGAAGCTTTATCTTACGTATTTGTAAGAAATAAGGTGAGATGCAAGTTTGCTTGTAACAAACCAATTTTTATTGAAATAATTTGGCTCAGGAGACGTGTTGCCGCCGCAAGGCGGCGTTTAATTCTTTTGTTATTTTTTCCGTTTGTACGCGCATTCTTTCCGTAATCATCGCATTCTTTTCGTTATCTCGGTTTCTCGTAATCAATATTCCGTTAGGTTTTTCCGCATAATTTCGTTTTGTTTCAGGCCATTTTGCATGCGTTTTTCTAGTTTATTTGTGCATTTCTGTCGCGATGTTACAGTCATCTCGTTTCAATTTTACCGTCTTCTCCGCTTTCCTCTAACGTGTTCCTAGCCGTCTTAGTCATGCAACATTTGTAAGTATTGCTCACCTTTGGCTTTCTATTTCTTTTATTGTATTCGTTCATAACTTGTAATTTATTTTGTTTGTGGCAACCACACTCATTTCATCGTTTTCATCGCTCCCATTGCCTTCATCGTTTTCACCGTTTAAGTTGTACATTTCGTGGCTTCCACTAAGGCATACTAGTGCAGCGTGTTGGACAACATCTCAATACGAAATTCAAAAGCTCTGGCGCATGTCCTACGCTATAAAATCGAACAAGCTTTAAACTTTAAATTTATGTCGTTTCAGATTTTAGAAGAATTTAGTGGTGAACAGAAGAGACAGGAAATACTTTATGTCTCGGGGCTAGGGGATAATAGTTGTCCTCCGAAATTTTATGCTCTAAAAACGCTAGCATGTAGTATTTGTTTTTACAAATACAAGTTTCTGCAGACAACTATCAGCCAAAAAGCCCTCAATGGCTTTTAGCTCGCGCTTTTTTCACACAACGGCCGTGATACAAAAAGCTGTGGTTAATATGAAATCGATTTATCCTGTTTTGCATTTACTGCTGTTGTTATTTTGTAACATTTGTAGATATCTATGAAAAGAATCATCATGTAGTAATCCTCCTGCTTTGTTCCGTGACTAGGTTGTAGTTTTGACTATGGGCTGTGTTCTGGCTGGAGCCAAGATTATTGGGATGACTTTGATTGGACAAACCAGTACGGTTCGACTCCGTCTTACTCCACGGGGCCTTCATCTGACCATGGGGGCTACGGTAAGTTAATCACGTCCAATGTTCATCTTATCATTAATTTTTATTATTAAAAGGATCCACAATTCAAGGTTTGTTTTTAGAACTCGTACAGTATAAGCAGAGGTAATTGGAGTGGTCGAAAAATTAGCAGGAGTGCAGCGATCGGAAAAGCCGATCCGATTACGCGTTCAATAAATCTCAAGTAACACTCCTTTCCTCGTTAGAGGGTTACCAAAAAATGAGAACCATACAAATAAAGTTTACTTGTTCAGCTATCGATTCAATTCTGGATAAGTCGAATAGCTTTCCAGCAATTGGGAGGTTGTAGTCGTGGTACCAGTATAATTTTTGGATGATAAAAACACCCTGGTCATTCAAAATGATAGACATGTGTGAACATGAAGTTATGGTAGCAGTGTCATAAAACACTGCGGTCATTTAAAATGACAGAAATACGGGAAATGAGGAAAAAGTAAATCCTATTGGTCGTGTTCTTGATCGTATTATTTTTATGAATTTGCTTAATACACTTAAGTACAGTAAACAGTAAACGTTTTTTAAACATGGTGAGGATTAAGGTTACGAGCTCGTGGGGCCGTTCAGAAATAAAATTTAGAAAGGTAAGTAAAATTATTCTATAAAATTACAATTACTAACTACAATTAAAATACGATACAACTAGAAATTACAATTTAAAATCACAGCTGCTAATTAGAATATTAAATTAATAGAATATACATAAACTGACGAATGTTTTGTTGCAGGACGCTACATGTATATCGAGACCTCCTCACCTCGGGTATATGGTGATAACGCCAAACTCGAATTTTCGGNTGGACAAACCAGTACGGTTCGACTCCGTCTTACTCCACGGGGCCTTCATCTGACCATGGGGGCTACGGTAGGTTAATCATACCCAATGTTCATCTCATCATTATTTTTTATTATTAAAAGGATCCACAATTCAAGGTTTGTTTTTAGTACTCGTACAGTATAAGCAGAGGTAATTGGTGTGGTCGAAAAAATATTAGGAGTGCACCGATCGGAAAAGTCGATCCGATTACGCGTTCAAGAAATCTCAAGTAACACTCTTTTCCTCGTTAGAGGGTTACCAAAAAATGAGAACCATACAAATAAAGTTTGCTTGTTTAGCTATCGATTCAGTTCTGAATAAGTGGAATAGCTTTTCAGCAATTGGGAGGTTGTAGTCGTGGTACCAGTATAATTTTTGGATAATAAAAACACCCTGGTCATTCAAAATGATAGACATGTGTGAACAAGAAGTTATGGTAGCAGTGTCATAAAACACTGCGGTGATTTAAAATGACAGAAATACGGGAAATGAGGAAAAAGTAAATCCTATTCGTCGTGTTCTTGATCGTATTATTTTTATGAATTTGCTTAATACACTTTTAGTATAAATACAATACAGTAAACGTTGTTTAAACACGGTGAGGATTAAGGCTGCGAGCCCGTGGGGCCGTTCAGAAATAAAATTTAGAAAGATAAGTAAAATTATTCTATAAAATTACAATTACTAACTACAATTAAAATACAATACAACTAGAAATTATAATTTAAAATCACAGCTGCTTATTATAATATTAAATTAATAGAATATACATAAACTGACGAATGTTTTGTTGCAGGACGCTACATGTATATCGAGACCTCCTCACCTCGGGTATATGGTGATAACGCCAAACTCGAATTTTCGGTGTCGAGCTTTGACATTGGGAAATTATCTTGCCTGGAGTTTTATTACCACATGTATGGATACGGAGTGAATACTCTCAATGTTTTC